CCCCAAAACCCCAAAACCCCAAAACCCCTTTTCTTAAAATATCGTTGAAGTTAATAAAATCGTATCAAAAATGAATCAAAATGGAGATTCTAGGAGTGTCTCAAGGGAGCATTGCAATCAGATGCAAAGTTTTCAGATCAGTCTAGAGACATATGACAATGATAAAGCCAAAGGAACATTTAACAACCGAATCCAGTTCTTGTTGTCGGCACTTGGCTATGCAGTGGGATACGGCAATATCTGGAGATTTCCATACATGCTTTATAAGCATGGAGGAGGAGCCTTCTTTATTCCATACTTATCTTGTTTGTTCTTTCTGGTTTTTCCTATGTATTACCTCGAAGTGGCTTTTGGACAGATGTATAAGAAAGCTCTTCATAGATATTATGATACAATTCATCCTAAGTTATTGGGGCTCTCTTTTACTGTAGCTATGATCTGCTTCTTTATTGCCATATTCTATATGTGTCTGATAGGTTGGTGATTCGCATTCCTACTAAACTCCTTCCAAGACCCACTCCCATGGGCTCCTAAGCTAGATGAGAATGGGAATATCTCTGAGTTCTCAAGTGACTACTTCATAAAAGAGTTTTTGGATAAATCAGACAGTATGTTTGACATCCGTTCGTACAACCCGACAATCATGGTCTCTTTCACACTACTAATGGCATTTGTATTCTTCAGTCTGTACAGAGGCATCCACTCAGCTAAATATTTATCCTATGTTATCGTGCCTTTGCCTTACTTCATTCTGACTGTTTTCTTCATCAAAGGGCTTACTCTTGAAGGATTCATTAGTGGCTAGGCCTACCTGTACAAGCCAGATTGGTCCAAGCTGTGGAGTTTGGAAATTTGGAGTGATGCAGCTGGCCAGGCTATATTCTCAGCAGGAATTGCACATAATACTGTTATTAAGCTATCGTCACATAGAAAGGATGATGAGCCTTTGTTGAGTACTGCAGTGTTGTTGCCATGCTTAAACTTTGGAACTTCTTTGTTTGCCTCCCTTGCTTTGTTCTCATTCATCGGACATGCATCTTATACTTCAGGAATCGCAATTGATGATATGAAAGTGCAAGGAATGGAACTGACCTTTGTGGTGTACCCAGCCCTGATAAATACCCTTCCATTTCCCCATCTTTGGAGCATTTTGTTCTTCACCATGATGACAATGCTGGGTCTTGGAACTGAGTATGTGTTTATTGAAGTTTGAAGTGAAACTTTCCATGGAACTTGTAATAGAAGAAAGAATTATAAAGGGAAGAAGATAGTCATGACTTTTACTTTTTGCCTAATCATCCTTCTCCTTAATCTAACATTCTTCGCTTCAAGTGCTGGCTATTACTGGTTGAAATATGTTGATCATTACTCGACAAGCATAAATCTGGTAATCTTTTCATTTATCCAGATAGTTTTGTTTGTTTACTTGCTTCCTATTGAGGATCTTGTGGAAAGAGTCAAGAAGTTCGGAGAGACAACTCCTAAGCTATATATTTTCTGCCTAAAATGCATCTGTCCAGCCTTCTCCCTGTTCTTGTCTGCCATGGCTGTGTACGGTGATATTACCAACAAAAACAAGCCGAAAATGTTAATCGATCAACTGGTGTGTTACACTATTTTTCTAATCCCCGCCTTCAGCTTCTTGGTAATCTATCTTTGGAACCCTTTCGAAAAGTATGACTCTGAAAGCATGGCTGCAGACAAATCAGCCAGTCTCTTCGACAATTCAAATGAACTCAAAGAGTTGAATAATTCTTAACAGGTTATCCTTCAGCAATGCTCTAAAGAACCCCATACGTATTCACCACCATTTCAACAAAAATAAAAAATAGAGGGGTTTTGGGGTTTTGGGGTTTTGGGGG